CACACACACACATATATATATATATGTATAAAAAGTGGGAAAATTTTCCATGAAGAAATTGTTACCTAGACACCTTATTGAAGTCAAATTAGGAACAAATCAAAAGGGCCAAGAATTAGAAATAAGAAATTTGGGCAAGAATATCATCCTTCCGCAGAAAAGCAAACAGGAAAAGCTGTAAGACGAGACCACTGATAAATGGTTTGAGAGAGAGAATTCTGTTTTCTGAACTCGCTTTTCCTATCAGAGATTCATGATGTCCAGCCACTGCTCTCCGTCACCTGAGCGTTGCTGTCAGTGGTAAGACCAGGCTGGGGACCATGCTCCACCCCGCTGGCTGCTGAACAAAAAGCTTGTAATCAAAGCCCCAATCCTACAAAAACATAGTCTGGTGTTAAATTTGGCACAAAGGATTCATTCAAAGCTTCCTGAGGTCCAGACAAATCCACTTTTTTCCAATGGATTTTGGGTGAAGAACTAAGGACTTGTGATCACAAACATATTTAGTCTTTTACACTGTACCAGAGTAATATAAATCAGTAAATATTTGGTTTTGAGCAATGTTAACCAAATACCTACAATAATATTACTGTAAGGATTAGATTAACCAATGCTGCTCAGTGCATTTAATTTTGGGACAGTTTCTTTTTAAGCAATAAAACCTTTTGCTGTTCCAGAACAATGGGGAAATAAAAAGCGAATGAGAATACTACAAATGAACGTAGTGGGGTTTTGAAAATGCCCCGATGAAAATACAGGAAGAAATGTTCATTTTATTTTCAATTTGTTTTAATGAAAATGATGTCTAAAGACATAAATGATGTCTAAAGAGGAATAAATGTAAAGACAACCTAGTGTGTAAGAGATTAAGATTACCAGGATTACTGAAGCTGAACAAACTTCTCTTGTTGAATGGCAACAGCTAACTTACGTAGGTTACATACAAATAAATTTAAAAAAGGGTACTGGAATGTTTGCATGTCCTACAGCAGTTTTAAATAATTTTGGACGTATTTCTAATCTGCAGCTGAAAGGACGTGCACTTGACAATTTGGCTATATGACGGTACCATACCTTTAATCTTGAACAACGGCAAACTCTTAAAGAATTAAGACCTTGGTTTGGTAACCAAAACATAAGCAAGCAGACGATTCTCACATACCTTTGTCCACAGTAATCCTGCACCTTGCCATATTAAAAAGTCAAACCTACTAATGTGTTAGAAAAGAGGGGGGAAAAAAAGCGGGGAGGTTTGCTGCAATAACATACGGAATAATAATGGGTGAATGCAAACCACTGAAGATCATTTTAATGATGCGACCACCAGCCTGCTGGTACCCAGGAGCACATGGGGTGTTACGTGCCTCCTTCTCCTCGGTGGGATGGACCTTAACTGTGCACTTCGCACTGCACAAACCTATTGACACAAAACAGTAAACAGCCTCCGCAGATGGAGCTGGGTGTTACTTTTAGCAGCTTCTCTGCCCTCTGGGGTGTGCGACAGCAATGAACTCCCTGCCCTCTGCTTAAAGACTGGTCAGGGTTGCAGGTAAAAGCAAAGAGAAGCCTCCACATAGAGCCATCCCCGCCTAAAAAATCAGCACAGAGTTGTGCTTGATGGTGGATCTTCTACCCAGCTTCTGCCTGCAGAAAGGCCATTACTTCCTAACTGTTTTTGTAAAAGCTAGACTCCTACTTCAGTCCTTAGGAAAAACAACTTTTAAACATGCTTGACAGCAACAGCCACCTCTGAACAGCAGTTCCCCATCAAGCTGTTGCACTCGGGGAGCTGGCTGAGGCTCCCAGCTCGCTCCTGCGTTCAGAGGTTTTGCTAAACAGCAGCGTTTTGTTTCCAACCCACAAGAGCCCATAGAGACATGCCAGCTTAGAGGCAGTGCTAAAAATCTTTCAAGAAGGGATCTGACATTTTCTTTTGTTCTTATTTCTATAGTATTTTCTCCTTCAAGAAGGTTATTTGAAGTATCTGGTACTGACATTTAGCAAAATGTGAAATATGAATTGGAATAGCTGTTCATAGGTAGTGACACAGCGCAGGATGGGGTGTCCCACTGGAGGGGCACTGGCCAGAACGCACGTAATTGTTCAAATGCTCCCACAGCTTCAATCTGTGCTGTGCTTTTCTCTCTCCCCCACACAAATTAACCCACAAGCACCAGTATAGGGGTGCTACATTTTACCACAGAGGTTTTTCTAATCTAGTGCTCCATCATAAATCAGAGACATCGTTTCCATCTTGCTCTAGCAAAACAGAGTTTCATGACCAACAGGATGCTTACACATGCAAATCCTTCCCATCACAATCACAAAAATTCCCCCAAATTCCCTACGTATAATTAGCTTACTGCAAAAAATTACCAGATAAATCTGCCTCTAGCAAAAAAGCTGATCAGAAGATGAAAGACAGACCAAGACATCAATAAACTGCCCTTTTTCAGTTATTTATGAAAGGACTCACTGCAAGGGAACATATTGTATAGCACCAATATTCTTGGATGAAAGTTGCATTTAGTGCCATTACATTTATTCTCTTACACTTTTGCCTACAAAAACCTCACCGCAAGATGCCAAAACGCTCAGCACTACAGAGCTCCCCCTTCTCACTGCTGATGCAGTGAATGCTCTACAGGTCCATTAGCATTCAGAACCCCAAACGATCACGACTTCCAGGCACACAAGCGCATGCTGAGCAAATCAATGTAAATCCTATGGCCTGATTTCCCTAAGTGCTGATTTTTCCAAAGAATAACCAAAGTCAAAAAGAGAAACCGGATCTCAGCCTTCCTGCAAAATCAGCAACAATTCAGAGCTTCAACCAAAGTTTTCATTAACTTGAGATCACTTTGACTGTATTTTCATCACTTAAACCAGAAACATCTGCATTATCACAAATTTTTTTGAATGCAGAAAGAAACATCAGTGTCTCTCACACAGAGGGAAAAAATACCAAGTGTTTATCTCCTTGTAAACATATGACAGCATCTGAATTTCTATCCAGAAACAATTAATTATGATCAAATCTTTTAACGTCTGCTAACACTGCTTCAGTTGCCTGCCTGTATTCACGTTTACAAAAGCAGTCAGCAAGTGAGTGAAAAATAAAGCAAGCAAAACTCCTGCAGCAAACCCTGTCGTGGTGACCAGAACTGAGCCTGCTGCGCTGAGCAAGCCCCGTCCCATTCCTCTTCATGTGTTTATGCCGTTGCATCCTATAAAAGATAACGGATGCCTCACAGCCACATTCCTTAAGTGAAACTATTTGCCAAAATACCCTGAAAATTTACACTAAGAATTTGTATACACTGGAACTAGCCCCCCAGTCGCTCAATACGCTTCCTTAAGCTCCCGTGACAAAAAAAAGCAGAACTCCAAGGACACGGACATGCCACAGCATCCCAAACACCTCAGTACTTCTGCTTCAGCAGTCGCCAGAGACTTTGGGCCAGCCTTAGGGTTTATTTATAAGCTCTCAGTAGCCCTCACTGCTGTGGTTAAGAGTCAGGCTTTCCCACCTTGACCCTCCTTTATTTGCAACATTGTCCAGGCTTATTTTGGGGAACGCTTGTGTTCGCCCAGCCAGCGTACAACCAGGGATGCGATACAAATCCTCGGGGGCAGAATCCCAACTTCTCCAAGAAAAATTAGATGTATTTTACACATTACAGTCACTTTGCACATGTGCTGTAAAACCAACATTTACCAAAATTGCCAAGTTTGTGGCACAAGGATAATATTCCCAGGAACACCAGACTTTCTACACGCAGACAGGTTTCTTTCAGGAAATTTCAGAAGTGTGATGCTGATACACTTATCACTGCATACATACACAAAAAAAAAAAACCCTTCTGGGTGTGTTTTAAAACACCGACCATTTACAACAGCTTGTGCTATTTCATAAGAGAAGACACACAGGAAACATCAGCGCTTTCTATATTTTAAGGCGGCTGAAGTGCGAAGCATAGTGCAGATGTAGTTGGTGCACATCACATCCCATCTCCGAGCACGGAGGCCAACACACATTTTGAAAGATGCGTGGAGGGTTCCCAAAGCAGGGAACCCTTTCTCCCAGGCTTTTTACCTCTCTCCAAATCTGCAAGTCTCACGCATGCCCTAAAGGTCCTCACCGGTCAGGGACTGGTCCGCTCCCAGCACGTTCCATTCTGCCGGCAGTTTCAGGTGTCGAAATGCCAAAGCCACTTTCTCATCCAAAAAGTCCACGTCGGCAGCGGGTGGTCTCGACCGGTCCAAGAATCGGGTGAAATTTAGTGCCTGCTGGTTGCCGGCGCAGGTGGCCAGAAACTGGGCAGCGTCGTAGGCTTCATCCTGGACAAACTGGAAACTCTCTTCTGCCACAACCAGAACAGGATGACCTTCTCTTGAGGCACAAAGTGCCACCTTCACTGTCTCACAGCAGTCGTGGCCTGCAAAATAAAACCAAGGGAAACGGTAAAAAAGAACAATTGCATGCGCTGAAGAAACACAATTGAGCAACTCCTTTGACACAAGTAGTCTTTACGTTAAATCAGGTAAGAAAAAGTTATTGAGGGTCACAGCACTAAATTAAACGCTATCTTGGGAACTTGTATGTATCATCAGAGATAAGTATTTCTTACAGACTTCAAAAGAAAAAGATGTGTAACTCTTCTCTGTCACAATGTAAACCAAGAAATTTAAGGCACCCTTATCTGACCAGGCTATTTTTGATCAGCGACGAGTAAACTCAAGAGCATTAAGTAATTCAAGTGAAGATTTTGCTAATGTACCAAAAGCCAGATTATATGGTCAAACTTTTCTTTTGCAGCTCCACAGGACTAGAATCCAAGTGCTGCAAAACTACATACTCCAAATGCTGTCACAACACTTTGGCTTGTACCAAAAATACTGCAATTTCACCTAAAATAAAGACCTAAATGGCTACGAGAGCACAACCTGCCCAGGCTTGCCCTGTGCACGCCCTCAGATCCCATGCTCACTGCTGCACCTGCCCTTTGCATTTGGGTTCACATGACAAAACTAAAACTAAGCTGTTTCTGCTAAATAAAAACATGGAAATGGCCACTTTCCATATTTACAAAACAAGAAGGTTGAAAGTTTGATAACATTAAGTTTATTTATTTATTTAGGGCAGGGGAAACAGGAGAAAGGATGCCCTGGCATGGCAGCAATTTCATTGACTCGGAAACTTAAAAAAAAAAAAAAAAAAAAAAACAAACTCCACAACACCTTTTTGCAATTTTAAAAGGAAAAATATACTATGTGTCCAACACAACCAGCACTTGTAATTGTCAGACATGCCCCTTCAATAATAAGGTTTGTGTTTCAAGTTCACTGTGCGGCACAGTTTCTTGTTCCAGTCTCAGACTGACGTCATGGCTGGTTTTGCCAGAACAGCATGGACCCTGCACTAATTACTGAAAAAGCTTCTTTTTGCCCATGACCTCAGCATACTACTACATTCATGAAATCCTGCTTAATTAAATACAAAATGACGATTTATTTTTAAAGGCTTGCAAATTCAATTTAAACCCCTATTTGTGGTCAGTGGGAAAGTTCCCTTCTTGTGTCGGGGCCCTTTGCTGTTGATTTCCCTGACAAAAGGAAAAATATGTCCCTAATCTTCATGGTCTTTCAGCCAACCTTCCAAATCTGTTCTGAGGCTTTTGGCATGTATACAGGTTTTGTCTGCTGAAAGAGGCGATCCTGAAGTTAATTGAAAGGTCAAAACTGCTATTAGGACGCTGTGAGTAGCACCAAAATTGTCAGAGACAAGGCTCCGTGGCTTCCTAAGGAGACCAAGTCCAGCTGGAAGGGTATCACAGGCAAGTGTAGAAGGGGAGGACGAAAACACACACGGATGTCGCTGCAACAGCTCAATTCAACTGGGAGGCTCTGAAGCTGAAAGGTGAGAAAACTTCTTTCCATCAAGCACCGGGCATCTATTAGCAAGAGGATGATGTGAAAGCCGAAGGGATAAATATACTAGTATTAATGTTATAAAAAAGAATAAGGGTAGGAAGACCTACTTCTACTGTTCTTGGAAATACTGCATGTGCATTCTAAATACGTCACCAGTCAACAGGATGGGCAGTGGCAGGGATCTCAGCAGCCCAGATGAAACCCATTCACAAACTCCACCCGTCCTTGCAGTAGGAGCTTCAAATATTCAAGGGAGAAGCAGGGAGACAGTGTAACTTTGGGGGAACTCGCCTTTAATGCAGTTCAGAAGTGTACATCCCTCCACGTTCTTGCTTTGCTCACCTTCTTAAGGACATCAGAATAAGGAGCTGGTAAGACTTACTAATTTTGTTTAAAACTTCCACAAAAGCAGGGAGTTGCATGCAGCCTGCTGAGAACACCGTGCTACTCTATGGGCGCTGACTCCAGTGCTACGAACTTGGCTCTCCCTCATGCAAAGAAGTAGAAGTTCGCTAGAATGTGGAGTTAAAAAAAAATCGTAATAAAAGACTCCTTAATAGCACGAGAAAAGCTAAACATTTCCCCCCCCCCCAACTATTTTCTGTCTATTCCCATAAGAATCCCATCTGCAAAATAACCTAGACTACAGCCACTCTGCTAGAAATCCAGTGGACTCTCAGGATTGAAGCAGAAGGCAAATACGGCCCATAAGCAGCTACAGAGAAACACTTTGGGACAGTCATTTCCCTGTCATGAAGCCAAACAACTCTTCTGTGGGGCAGCAGAAGCTCCTCCATTATGACAACTACTAGGGAAACTTCAGTCAAGACATGTGTTCTCCTTAAACTGGTACATCATGGAGGTACACAAAGTTCCCTTGGATGGAGTGTATGTGAAACACCAGCCCCAAAATTAAGAAAAACTACAGGATTGTTCAATACACTGCAAGGGGAGGTGGCAAAGAGGCCATGTCCTGATCTGTAGCCAACGATGGTTTTCTTGAAACTCCCCCAGATATCTAATACAGCCTTGAAAGGGAGGTGACAGAGCTGATGATCCATTTTCATCTAACAGGATCAAACAAGCATCCTGCTAAACCCTGGGGAATGTTCTTCAAAAAGGCAACCGCTCACAATACTTTGATGTTCTCCTTCCCTACATCTGAGAAGATGTCAGACTCGGGGGGTAAGACTCTGGGACAGGTTCTGACTTCTGGCAAACAGTTCAAACGAAAGAGGAGCCAGTAAGTAACAAGCGTGGCCAATACTAAAAAGATTGCTCAAGAGGTCTCTGCCCTCCTGCTTTGAAACCGCTACAGGAACGATGTAAGCAAACATGTCCCCAATACATGAACCTTCTGAAGGAACCATTGGTGGGGCAACGCTTCTCTCTACATCAAAGACCGTTGCCTCCTTCACCTAAAATAATATCTGAACTTCAACAGCCCTTTTTCCCAGAGCATTAGCAAAAGTGAGCTAAGTTTTCTGGCACTCTCAGAAGATAAGCGGTTACCATCTGTAAAACAAGCCCAAATCTTCTTTTATGAGGTTAAGTAACTTACCCAAGATCACAAAGAGCTCTGCGCAACACCAGAACAAATGCTATTGCTCTTGATCATCTCTTTTCTGCTCCGGCTGATAGACAGCGGGGCTTCCTCCTAACATGGGTTAAGCACCAAGTCATGTGCTTTGCAAGCATCAGGGGGCATTCGTCTACCGACTGCTGGCACTCCCTCGGACACCTTCCCCAGAAGTGGAACAAAAAACTCCTGACTCATTAGAAAGGCAAAAAAAAACCTGGGTGTGTCAGGAAGAGTGATGAGCCTATTTATAGCCTATTTTTAAAGGTTTGCATTTTGCTAGGCTGAAAACACATGTAACTGAATAAATCACGCACATGAGTGCACCCACAGAAGGGAAGAGAAATCTCTCTGCTTTACAACGCAATCAGGTTCACGATGCCGCCCAGCACCCCTCCTGACCGCCTTCAGTCTTCTCCAGAAATCAGGCCCTTTGGCCAAAATAGCAATGAAAAGCAAATGATATATTGAACATCCCCACACTGGTATCATCCAGTAGTATTCCAGTCCGAATTTTAATTCTTCTGACAAACACAACAGTGTTTCCACCTTGCTGACGACTCAGACTGCGCAGCATAACTTCATGTGTATAGCTAGGCTTCTCTTCTTCATACTTTTTTTTTTTGCCACAGTACGAAATTAGGTCATTTATGCTGGCCTAACTATGATAAAAGTCAAGTAACCCATCCCTTAATTCTTCCTTTGCATTTTACCCCATTTCTCCTTCTGCTCCTCAGTTACTTTAAATTTAGCTTGGAAACAATTCACTACTTGGAGCTGTTTTGAGGAGTGCCAACATATTGCAGGAAAAATACAGAAATTAAAAAACTATTTCAGTCTATGTAGAGATGGGCACAGTGACTGCTTCTGTCGTGATAAAGCTAATTCCTCATCTCCACATAAAACCACACTTTAAAAGTTATTTAAAATGAGACAACAACTCTTCAACGAAAGAATTCCTTACTGGGCCACTTACTTTGGGCAATACATAAGAGCAAAAAATGAAGAACACAGGGTTCTGGTCTCTCTATCTTTATCCCTGAAGAGAGGAGATGCATCGGTATGATAGCACTGCCTCCTCTACACGATAATGCAAAACAATGAGCAGAAGAAAAGGTGGAGATTTCTGAGCTGTAAGTAATTAGCAGATAAGTTCATGTACAGCCTTAGACCTGGCCATCTAATTGGTACCTGTGTCTTTGATCTGGGGTGTGATTAAAAGGGCGGCAGCAGAATTCTTTGGACTTTTTCTCGTTAAACAAGGCACATGGAGACAAACCCCCCCTAAACAGAGCTTTACCAAAACATGATTTCATTTCCTACTCCTCTAAAAGTGGAAATCCTGTCCAAACCTCCTATTTTCAGAATTCACATTTGAACTACCGAACAATGGGCCCCCAGCCTGGGCGGCTATTTAAAGCCCTGCTGGAAGCACATGTTTGGGTTTGCCTGATAGGTGACTAAGGACTCCAGTGCTAATTGCATCCTCTGAGTTACCATGGTGGGGCTGGGTTGGAAGAGGACTTACAAAGACATTTAAGCAGGACAGGAAAGCCAGACAACGAATGTGGTGAATCTCATGGAGTATCTTGGATTTGCATCCAAGAAACGTTGCCATCTGGTGGCTCGTGGATAGGGAAATCAAGGGATCTCCTGGGGCCATCCGAAAAGTGGTTCTTTTCAGAAAAGGGTTTCTTTTCAGAAATCCCAAATTCTGGTTCTGAAAATCAGAGCCCATATTTGAAGTGCGTTTGTGCGATTTACACAGTTATTGTATTCACTCTTGCAACATAGGAAACCTTATGAAATACATAGGCACAGTACCAGTAACAGACAGGAGCCTTTGTTTTTCATTTTAAACCCTCAACTATTAATATGGAGAGTGTAGAAAGATTTTTTTAAAGTGCTTTATACTGCAGATGTCCT